CCCCAAAACCCCAAAACCCCAAAACCCCAAAACCCCGAAATAAAGCATTTGGATTGAAATATAAATTGAAAAGAAGGTTAAGCCTGTGTAATATTACCTTCTTCAGTCGCCTGTGAGTCTTGCTCTTCTAATTTGTTCTTTTCATCTTCATCATCCTCAATTCTCTGCATGAACTGGTCGAAGTCTACTCCTTTTGCAGTAAGGAGGTTTTTCAGAAACTCGAGCATTTTCTCTTGTTGCTCTTCTGTTTTATCCTGATTTTCTTTGTATTTAGTTATGTAGTCTCCAAAAGCAAGTAGGTTTTTAGATAAGTAAGTATATTCCACAGTTGTATCAAATTTACGCATTTCGATAATCTTATTCTTAAAAATCATCATTTTCTCTTTAAATTTTTTTTCAGCGGTATTAAGGATTTTAGCCTTATCTCCTTCCTTCTTGTTCTTAATAGCCTTGCTAAATTTGAACATTGAGTAGACAGCACTAGCTGAGACTTCCTTCAGAGCATCCCTGTATGATAATCTTTGGATAAGAACATAAGCGTTTTTCTGTAATTGAGTCAGCTCAAGTTGCTCTGAAACTGTGACAACGAAGAGGGACACCAACAACACTCCCCAGATACAGAGGATGATACCGAGGATCCTACCGAAGAAACTCTTGGGATAGACATCTCCATATCCAACTGTTGTCATTGTGATGATAACGTTCCAGAAAGATGTGTAGTATGAGTTAAAATCTTGCTCACTAACCTCACTCAATGGTCTTTCGAAGATCCTCAACATGTAGGCAGAGATAAATGCACTTATAAAGAAGGTTATAATCAAGGTTTGATTAGAGTTTTCTTTAAATTTTGACTTTAGAGAGAACGGGAGGCTAGCGTGGCATCCATTCAGAGCACAAACTCTTTGAGCACGAGGATTTGTAAATTTATTTGTAGTCAAAACAGTTCTGAGGATAGCATATCACTTTATCCATACAAAGCATCATAAAAGATTGTTCACTTCATATTCGATCGTCACGTCGTATACATAGTTATATTCATTAACTTTATAGCCTCTTAGAAAGACTTGAGGACCAATTTGTGTGATGATAGATTCAATGATCATGTATTTCCAAAGGTTACTGTTCCAAAAACTGGCCCATTCACCTACATACTATAGTAAAATCTTACCTTCATCAACATTAATAAAGTTCTTGGCGACCATCCACTTGAACTGTACATAGTACCTTACGTTAAGCATTGCAATGAGATAAAATATAGAAATAGTTGAGATATAAAGATTGGCTTCATTGTCATATCCCTTATAATCAAGTTCATAGATCACTATAGAGTTGCCCAAATGAATAAGTGTCAAGAATCAGCAAAGGATCTCAGTGACCTTAAGTTTAGCATAATAAGCATTTGATTTAGTGACATCCTCCCATGACTTGAACTCCTTCTCTAGTTCTTGCTGTTGAAGCTCCTTTGCATTTATTTCCTCCTCTTCTTTAGTTGGCGGTTGAAAGTTTTGCTCTCCCTTCTTGTGCCTATTTAAGGCAGCTGTCATTCCTCCGTGCATTTTGCCTGTAAATTATAATATTCAATAATTTCAAAAGCTAGGGGTTTTGGGGTTTTGGGGTTTTGGGGTTTTGGGG